GGCTTTTGAGTTTTACAATGGAGTCATAGCTACATCTCAATTTTTGCAGAGATCAAAACTGGGTTTCCCTGGGGCCAAGTAACTAATCCAATGTCACAATACTCAGTGCTAAAGTCGTTCTACCCCCTAAGCACTATGTCACATACACCAACTGTACTCTTTCCCTTTGCTCCAGTCCCATCACTGCAGCTGATAACAGGCATGCTAGCGCCACGCATCTCCAAGTGCTGGAGCCCAGGTTGTGGTATCAAGATAAATGGACATGTCCTAATAGATAAGTCCCTAATAGAATGCTAGCAGTTACTTTTCTTTTCTTTCTTTTTTTTTTTGTCATGACAAGCAGCATGTATTCAGAAGACCAGAATGACAGGCACTCCAAGCATGACCCTACTATTACACATTGCCATCTTCAGTGCAGTTGCTTAGTTCACAGGTATCAGTATATATATAGTTAGTCAGGGGGAGAATCCTAACAATTAACTGCTAGCTTTGGAAACCTGCCGAAAATTCTCAGGATCATTGCCTTGCCCATCTTGTACAAATAAATATATGGCTTTTCCCCTGTTATGTTTCCTAGCTTTTTTCCTTGCTCTCTCTTCATTGTCTAATCATCAAGTTCTCGCTTTCTTTCTTTTCTTTTCTTTTCTTTTTTTTTTGAGTTTCTGCTGCTTCATATGGCATCTTCTTTTTTTTTCCATAATTTTATTGATAAACAAATAGCAATGAGACAGTTTCAAAGCAAATTGGTAGGACAGTTTCAATAATTAACACATTGCATACATTTTTCCTAGGGGTTAATTGCTGTACAAGATGCGGACTTGATATCCTATTTACAAACACCATTAGAACAAATCCCTCTATTCATTAAGAAAATGTAACTATATATCTATCCTAACCACTTTGAATACACAGATACAAAGTGGACATTCATCTGTATCCCTGTTTTTGTTAAGTTCCATCATTTAAATATTATAGGTGTGTAAACTCAGCAAAATATTCTAAAAGAGTTCAGTAGTCCATAATAGTATTGGGTCTTCCACTTCACTGGCAATGTCAGAAATTGTTGACCTGAGTCCCCTACAGTTCAACATAACACCATGGCTTTACTTCTTATACTTTGTTTTTATACTTTTCTGCTGGATGGTTAAGACCAAGGTAAAGCAGGACCTATGGAACAAGAGTTGTAGCTTTTAGGTCTGATAAGGTCAGTGAAATCCCCTCAGGATTTATCTTGAGATCCTGTACCTCTGATTGTAGAACCTTTGTCAGTGTCAGCCATGTGGATGAGTCATGGCCATTGCTTGGCCAATGTGCTCTCTGTGAAAGCCTGAGAGAAAAAAAAAAAGAGCTGCATGGGGCCAGGGAGATGGCTCAGTGGAATAAGCGCTTCCCCGGCAAGCTCAAGGGCCTGAGTTCAATCCCCGGTTTTGCAAAAAAAGAAAAAAGAAAGAAAGAAAGCCTGAGAGAATGTTTTCTCTCCATGTGACTCTCCTTAGGCACACAACATCATCGATCACTTCCTCTTTGGCCCCATAATCTCCTCGATCAGAAAATTTGGGACACTACCGAGTTGCATGACATTACAGTACATAGCAGTTACTTTTCTTAGCAAATCAGCTGGATACATACTTTTTCCTAGAGGAAATCCCACATCCTCCCCGGAGTTCCCCATGAGTGCTCTTGGAACTTCTCTCCAGCGGATAGCTTCTGGAGCAAGATCCTACTAAGACTCAGGAGTTAAATAAAATAAAGGCACAACCATAATAAGGATCAGAAAAGGAACAAAGATATTAAAAGAATGAGTTAGCCACCTTAGAGTTTGTGTCTGCCTCTTAGCATCACAAGTGAATTGTTGCTGAGAAGCAAGTTTTGTGTGTTGTACTTTACTGAAGAAGCAGAGGTTTAGAATGGGCTAATGAGAAACCATCCTCTTTGAATATAAAGCCAAGTGAAGGGACTGATTGAACATACAATGCTGGAGCATTTGGATAAATAACAAAGACGTTTTTGTAAAAAACCCCAATCGTAAATTATTTATTTGACATAAAAAGAAAGAAAATGTTTACCAAGTGGATTTGATCAACAAGACATAGTTTAAGGCAAATGTTGCCAAACTATGCATCTCATCCTATATTCCACATTTTAGAAATATAAAAAATAATTCCATAAAAACTAACATTGGCAGCTTCAGAAACAAAACTGAGCTTGGATTTTCACAGCCAGAGAGTAGGAATGCTGACATAAATTTTTCTCCTGAGCTTTACCGGGCATTTGGGGTAAATCACAATGACTCAATTGTACCCATATTTAATTTCTTGTTGATCTCTCAATTTTGCTTTTCACTTTTTTTGCAATGAAACACAAACCAGCATAAGTGCCATGCACCGACCTGCTTGCTGCTTCCCTGCTCAGCCAGGTCCCTGGGTCATTGCTTCCGTGTGTACTGGGGCTGGGGATGGCTTGCATACGCCCAGTGCTGCTCTCTTGGGTGCCACTTCTCAGCCCATAGTGTCCTTTCATCTCCCCTGTAACTGCTGTGGCAAATCACACACTCCTCCACTGACCACTTTTTCTGACAAGACGTATTTGTTAAATATAACTTTCTAATTATGGTCATCCATCACTTGGAACCAACTTAATCAATAGATCTTTTTTTAAAACATAGATTTAACTCTCCTTTTTTTGAAAAAGGAGAAAAGCAATGTGTTTTGTGTATTTTCATCTCCAACTCCAGGAATTTTTCAATTTTTGAATTTCTAGACTAACACGTACTATGGTTTAAATAGCAGGTGAAGAGTTGAAATCCCCCCCCAAAATAAATAAATAAATAAATAAATAAATAAATAAATAAATAGCAGGTGAAATGTCAAGGAAGTTTAGGCTTTCCTGAGGTGCCTATATTTTTTTAAAACATGGCATTTTGTAACTTTACAACAGCATATTGAATTTTTATATCCATGTGCCGGTCTCCTCCGTTGTCTTATGTTTTCTACTACTGCAGAATAAATTTAAACAAATTTAGCAGTTTAAAACATCCATGTACGGGCTCAGAGTTCTGACAACCAGGAGTCGTGGCACAGCACTGGGTTCTTTGCTCAAGGTCTCGTCAAGCTGAAATCATGCTATGAATCAGACCTAGTTCTGGTCTGGAGGCTTTGGGGGAAAAGCCACTTACGGTCATGTAGGTTGTTGGCAGAATTTAGTTCCTTCCATGGTGAAGTCTGTTTCCATACTGGTGGTTGGCTGGGATTTTCCTCAGCCCTAAAACTCTGCTTTCTGGTCCCTGCACAGTGGCCATCTCAATTTGCAAAGCCATCAGTGAAGAAATTCCTGGGTGATGAATTCACTTTGTGCTTGGAATTTCTCACAGAAGAGCCCAGTCTCTGAAGTGCTCGCCCAACTAGCAGAGTCTATCAAAGATAATAGACTCCACACCTGAGACCTTAAAGACATTTGCAAAGTCCCTCAGAGCAGCATGTAGATTAGTGTTTGATTGAGAATATGTGTGTACACGGAGAGACCAGGGATCTTGGGGTCATCTTGGAATCCTGCCTAATTTACAGTCTATAAATTCTTCCATGGCAAAAATTGGGCCTTATGTATCTTTGTTAGCAAGCAGATGCTCCCCTCTTATTTACAGAACTAAATTGTTTCAAACAGTTGGGAGTGAAGCCAGGAAACTGTTCCTCACAGCATGAACTTCTAGGTAAGGACAGCTCCCAAAAGGAAAAGGAGAAATAAGGCGATGGATGCTCAGGATGCCTCTGGGCTGATAACATTCCTAACCTTCTGTCTCTTCCAAGTTTCTACTTTCACTATGGGAATACAACTGGGATTTACTAAGGGAAGGCAAGAGGAATAGAACTCCTGACCTAGAAATGGGCAAAGCAGATACCTTTCCTGAACTACTTCTATTCCATCGCGTGAAAGAGTGTATTCAGCGAGATCTCAGCGAGCGTCTCTTGCTGAGCTGTCTGCCTTCTGGTAGAGACTCCTACTTGCTCACCTCAGAGATAGAGAGGGGCCGGGTTTCGGAGGAAAATAAACGCTTGTTGAATCTTGCTTCTGAATGAATGCCATTTAACACGTGTGTTGGCTGGTAGTCATTCGACCTCTAAGGCTGTGTCTAACGCATTTTCTGTGATCTAGTGACGGCTGTCTGGGTACCTGGCAGCCAGGGACCATCCATCCCGAACAGGTGCAAGGCTTGGAGCATTTGCTCCTATTTTAATTTGGACTTTCTCTTCTTTCAAACCAACAGTTGACAGTTTCAGGTGATACCACACGAATTCAACCTGAATAATATTAAAGCCAGTCATATGGGGCTCATTTTTAAGAAATGCTCAGCTTTATATAACGCAAAAAAGAAAAAAATCTTGGTTTCCAAATGACGTCTTATAAATCCATTAAGGGGAGACACGGCTTTCCATTAGTCGGGGGACAGAATTCAGGTTTTTGCAAGAACAGCTCCATTTTCCTTAGATGTTCTCAGCTCCTCCATCACTAGCTTCACACAAGATCAAAGTTACGGGGAGTTCTGTGAGCGCTCCATACATCTGAATCGAGGGCGGGAAGCAGCTTTCTGGCTCCACACAGACACTAACCCGGTGCTAGGAGAGCGCCCCACTTCCCCAGACCTGCGGAGCCTCGGAGGCCGGGCCCGCGCTGTGACGTCATCGGACTCGCGGGCCACGATGCGTGCTCAGGCTCCGCGGATTGGCCAGGATCCGTGACGTCACGACCCGGGGCGGTGCCGCGTCGGCCAGGGCCCCGGGATGCTCCGGGTTCCGGGCCAAATCCAGGGGTGAGCGAGGGACC